TGCTTTCGGGTTTTCCATGGTGGTCTAGCATCAATTGACTCATGATCTCAACCATTGAAATTACCATAATATCCAAACAAACTCTTCTGATATTCGAGTAAAGCCTGATAAGGATCTAACCAAAAACAATATTGTTCCCTTATATATGTTGTTCTAAGTTGTTGTGGTTGTCTAAAGCCCACCTCTATGCTATACTCTTGTAAAAAAAAACTGGCCGGAATTGTTGGATTTGACACATTTAATAAACATTCGAAATGTTTCGGATAAATTAGAAAACTGTAAAACAAAAACACACACACAAATGATTTATCCTAAGAAATTCAAATAATTGACATGACGATTAGATTTAAACTTAAACATTGTTGACAATAATCTAAATATTTATGCGAATATATATTGACAATGTTTTTTTTTGGTTTTTTTCAAAGATTTCTACATACTCACTAGATTTCAGCAGTTTATGAGTCCCCCCTCCATGGAGATATTTCTACATACGTTTATTCACATATACTACTAATTTAATAGTGCACACGAATTATGGCTAATGAAAATAAATTTCATATTTCACCATTAATTATGGGTCAGTCACTTTATAGGAGGCGAAGTCAATTGAATTAATATATAAAATTAATGTGTATACATATATTGGACATCAGTTTTTCCGACATATTGGTCAAAAGTTCAGCTTTAAAACCAATCGTGGACATCAATATCAATGTACAACATGAAATATGACAAAAACAGTCATTTGATTAACTTTATTCATTGATTGACGCATTGTTGTTGTCAATTTTTCCAAGTTACGATTGTCTTTTGTGCAAATATTTTGTTTTCATTTAGTTCTTTAACGTCGTGCATCCATAATCCAAAACACTCAGGTCCCCCCATGCGTTTCACGTATGTTACATTTAGATTATTAACTTAAGAATCAATTTAAAAATATTATCAAAATCAATCAGTTCCAGGAGTACACTTCATTAAGAAATGATCGAAGTTGAAAATGTTAGTGAACTGTTCAATCATGTCAGGATTTTTGTGGATATTATAGTAATTTCGATGGTTGAGATCATGAGTCAATTGAAGCTAGACCACCATGAAAAACCTGAAAGCACTGGACAGCCGTTTCGTTATGTAATGGGACTCTTTAGCAGTGCACATCCATGATCCCCCCATGAGATTCCAACCCAGGACCTATCTGTTTAATTATGACTCAATGTTCTGAATGATATCGTGTTCACTATGAGTTCTAATTGTTGTGGGTTTCAATTCATGTGGTGAGTTATGAGTATGTAATGTTAAGGTGCATCGAACTATAGTAGATCAACTTTCTGATATTTTTAACGATCAAAATCTCTCTTCAAAGTAGTCTAAGATCAAATAAACAATGAACTTAATATTCTTGGACGACTTAAAAATAATGTGTTCAATATTCAATAGATTAAATTTATTAATTTCCAGATGGTTTTTCAATTTCGTTCAGTCAACCAGAAAGTTACAGATAGAATATTTGTAAAACAATAAGTATGCTTTTCATTCGAAACCACTATCCTAGGTGGAAATTAGCCCATGATATTGTAATTCACGAGGGGAAAGTGAAGAGTATGTTACCTAATCGAACATTTATACGTTAAGTGAACCACACATTGCCTTCTAATCCGTTACAATTGTCTACCAGAAACCTTCATTATCAAATTTTAGTGTTAAAAAAACGTATGACGCCATTGCAGATGTTTTGTACAAACAGATTAACTATGTAGTTAGAAGAGCGGGGGAAAGTAAAACTATGAAATCATTTATTCTCGTCATAAAAAACCAAGTATAATAATAACAATAATGTTAGGGTTATTCGAAATATTGACAAGGTAAACCAGGTTATAAGTGAGTCACAATTTCAAACCTAGTTCCATTTACTTTGTTCTACGCAGCTGTGTATCAGCCATCACACAAACGAATAATTACTTTAAACTGACCACATAAACCTGTACTCGGTATATAAGTATTAATTTTAGATGAGGCTGTTTTATAGAGATCTACTTAGTTTGTAGGTACCATTAAAGGAAAGAATAAACCTGGTGTATTTCGTCTTAGTACGAGACTTCTCGTCAGTGGACAACAATGATACCACTAGAGATGAAAAACAATAGCCTTGTATTCTCAAGCAGAATGTTCAAGCATCAGGATCAATGATTCGACATCCAATAGTACCATTTTAAATTCAACGAGTCAACGGTATACCACAAAAATCGTCCAATCTCGTTCGTAACAGCTGTTTCACTCATAATTGAATTCGGTCTATGACGTACACGATCTACATATGAGTTCTAAAAGACTGCTGTTTACTTATTTTTCTCCTTTAAAAGTTCCCCAGAACAATTGACTGATCAATAAATATTGACCGAGTTAATGTTTGCCTGGTATTTTTCAGCGCTGATCGAATTCCAACGATCAAGTTGCCAAAAGCCCATCACTAGTCCAATTGATTCAACGCTGTATTTTTTGATGCCAGATTTTCGGAGGTAGGCAATGTGAAACTCTGGATTTATGTTTCATGCTATTTAGTATCCTGATGAAAAATTAACAAGAAATTGTCACATTACCCTTGTCCATAAAATGACTTAAACATTACCAGAAGAAATTCAAAGTTATGACAAATTGTCTCTGTACGCAAAAGGGGGTTTGAATACATGAATAGCCAATGCTTCTATAAACCTAAGAATTCATCCTTGGCAATTATTATACATTTTAAAAGCTTTATTGATGTCAATTTTATGTCCTGTTTCAATTATGTGCTTTGTTATTGACGAACATGGTTTTCTATTTGCCACATTTATCGGAGTATTTAGCACTAACTGGTTTTGAAGCTATTTGCGCACATGTTCCATTGGTATTCGCCAGCAACATGTACCTGTAATCTTGAGAGGATTAGTGTTCCCTAACAAGTAACACATCAGCATAATGTATTAGATATCGAATCACTTGGGCTAATGGATACAATGCAAATTGATTGTTGGAATTCGATCAACACTAAAAAGCACTGGGAAAACATGATACTATTCACTAATCACTGATCAAACAACTGCAAATATCTGTCCTAAAAGAAGTCAGCTAAGTCATAACTATCTCAGTAGTAATGCTTCAAACTGTAAATCTAGGTGATATGGGCCCGAACCCACCAGTGAGCACTAGTTCTTTCAAGACGACAGGTAAAATTTACTGAAGAGTGCCAAACAGCATAGAACCTAGGTCCAAGGTCTTCTGTTGACTGCCTTCAAACACCTAACATATAAGGAGAAAAAATCTTGGCTATCTTTTTGAATAATAGCTAACAGAGGAATCCGAGATGGATGTTTCACTCTACCTTGGATTCGTCAGTTGGATCTATCTTATTCCTAGTGTTGACGCTCACATTGAGACTTGATGCCAGTACTGACAATTTAAAGTGATAACCTGTTATCCACTAAGCTACTGAGTCCAAATAACCATTAACATATTTGATAAGCATGATATTCAATTGTTAGGATTTGAAGTATCTCGTTGTGGATCAATTTCAGTCCTAAATATCAACTGATAACAAGAAATTAAAAATACATATTAATAATTTATTGACTCATTCTTTAGTAATCATTTTTTATTTCAGATTAGTTTTAGATTAGTCTTATAAAATAATCTCAAGCTTTGATCTCTAATATAAACGTCAACTAAAAATATCCGTTCGAAAATTACCTGAAATTATGATACTATAAAGATAAAATATAGTCAAAATACTGAAACTGTCTACTTTTAAATATCACACTTCCGGCTAAGCAATTTGCATAAACAAACTGAATCCCAAAAAAAAGTAAGAAATAAAGCGAGGAAAACAGAACATGATAAACAGTCAAATGTAAAAACAGTCAGAATAAGTTGGGCAACACAACCACAGATGCGATTCTAATCATTTAGAATTTGAATCGAATGAATATTTTTCATACTACTACTACTGATAAAGACAGGCAAATAGAAAAGTGTTTAGCAAATCCGAGTCAAAAGTTAACATTAGTTTAAATGGCAAGTGCTTCATACAATTAGTGGGTTCTCTAAAACAGTCGACACCAGTTCGATCGACTTTTTGATAGTAATAACTATACTTAATGTATAACACTGATATAAAAACGACTTCATATCGATTAGGATAACCTGTTCTCATTTTCAGCTTAAAAATTTACGCACTTAGCAAAGATAATTTATAATTCCCTTTATTGAATTGTAAAGAAATCCATATTCTGTAAAAGTTCAGATCTGTTTTCCTTTGTCGAGTTGTTTGTAATGCTCTATCTCACACCCACACCAATTCTGTTTAGCAATCATTTCAGAATAATATGTTAAGTGTAATTTATACAACACCCTAACAACCCCAGTATCATGAATAGTCGCGACAAAAATATATCATTTTAAAATATCCTTTTTCAGAACTCAATATTCATGTATATGATTATGAACTACTGAGAGTAGATCAGGAATGATTAGAGCTTACTATCCATTAGTTGAAAGCTTAATGCTCTAATTTGTAAGTCACTATTGTCTCATGTTAATTTCCGCAAAAATTCGATAATGCATCACTTGATATATCGATTTATAACTAATGGTTTTACGTAACCACAAAAATTTCATCATTGCTTAAGACAGAGATTTAAAATTTAATATTTGAACTACAACTAAGTGACCAGATCATATTTAAACCCTCTCTCTCTCATTCACTTCAGGATGAATCTATCAATCATAAAGACATCCGTATTTAAACTCCCATTCGACAAAACATCTACACATTAACAGTTAATGCTTTTAAGTAATCTATAATGTGCATTAGTAATCTATATGGCACACCTATCTTTCCTGAGTTCATTTCATGCATAGAAATAGTGTTTTTGTCGAAAAAAATAATGAAAATATAATATAACAATCAATTTATTGATTAATGATCACCAAATAAACAAAACAAAAAACACACTAAAAACACTCACTGTACTGCACTGTACTATTGTAATCACGATAAATTAGATTGTAATAATTGTATTGATTCTAATAATAATGATAAGTAGAATTAATGAATTCTAAATCCATTCTAGTCCATTTATCTTGTTAAATAGCACATTTTATATACGTCTAATAACACTAAAGATCATAATAGTGTTGATGATAATGATAAAAGTAATATTAATACTATTTAAGCACATACACGTTTAACTCATTGTAAAACATTTTCAAGGTTACTCCGTTTCGTTTGTTTGTTTTTTGTTGTTAGTTAATTTGTCACTAAATTGTGTGTTTGTTTAGAGTTCCTATGATTCTGATTGGTTAATGATGTAGAAATTTTTAGGTGCGCTATTTGATAGTCACTTTACAAACGTGTTCATCATTCTGATTGGTTGTTTTGTTTATATTCATTTTCTTATATTATTTCATATATATGACAACAATTTTTTTTTTAAAAAAAACACAACTTGTTTATACATGATGATACCTTTTGTTATTTTTATTTTTAACACTATTTGAGTGGAGGTTTCCTTTCCCCTCGTAATGTCGTATTGAAAATAAACAACGAATCAGTCAGAACAAACTGATCATGTAATAAAGGATAATCAATAAATCTTTATGACCGTACATATAGAAAAACAAACAAATATTTTTTAAAGTAGTTTAGATTATGAATCAATTGAAGCTAAACCATCATGGTAAACCTGGTAGCACTGGGTGGCATTTTCATCGTATTGTCTGACTCCTCGACAATGCGCATCCATGAATTGCATTGTAATTACATTGTAAATGGTAAATTCAATTAGTTAATCACTGGGAATCAAGTATTAAACTTATTGAAGAGTTAATTCATCCTGGTTTGGAACTCCTCAACAGTATATACCTATCGTAATACCATAATAGGGGTCGAGTTTAGAACTTTTGGATCTAGTGACGAAAAATCAATGAAAGGAATACTATTCTACTTATTTGACCATCGATTCTCTGTAAAACTTACAATAAACTAATTTATAATAACGTATCATATACAATCAGTACTTTTAGTCATGTTGTCGCAAGTATAAAAACAAAACTGTATCTACTGAATCATAGCCCAAATGAATTTTTTAACACAATTTCTAAATAAATAGTTTACATCAATTAATTTTGTTCTGGGAAAACTGTATAGTAAACTAGTTTATCTGTAACTAGTGGAGTTGAACCATGTCAAGGGTGAAGCAATTACCTTCCAACGGCATTAGATAAGGGCTAAACTGCATTTCTAACTGACTATCATGTAAACCACTGGATAATAACTCAGTGGTCGGAAGGTTAACCGCTCTCTGTGAAACCAGGCTGTTCTTGATTCGACGTATTATACTATATTGGGTGAGTGCTATTAATGGAGTATCTCATACTAGAACGAAACATATGTCATTTGTTAATGATTTTCTAGCTACGGTTAGTCCGTGACGTAAATTACACAATCCAACAATCTCTACAAATCTTCCTAGACCAATAATTTAGTTTATATTTATTTCAATACATACAGAGTTTAATTTTCTTCAGCGATGAATGAAAATATAGCTGATCATGTAGCCAAAAACTTGACTATATGTATACCCATTTTATTATAAATTTGTAGGTAAATGAGCGATGAGAAACTAGTTTCATCTATCCAGTATACCACCAACTAACTGAAATATAATGAGGAAGGGTGAAGATTATTTATCAACAAGTGTGTACACAGCTGTTTTATTCTTTAGTATTAGGCATGCTGTTAGACGCAAACTTCTTGTTAAGAGTCCACATGATAACCACGATCAGTGTTTGGAGACACTGAGTCTTATTACTCAGGATTGGTCACACCTGAGCTGGTCCATTTACTCTTTATCTTTATTTAGACCTTCAATTCCAGTATTCCTTCATTTATATACCGTACTCTAAATGTCAGTGTTACTGTGGTGCATGCCACTGATGTTGACAGACATAAGTAGTATGTAATAACGGTCAGAAGTGGACTGCCTATCAAAAGAAGGTTGAGAAGATTGAACTGAAGGAAACAGAAAGGAAGTGGAAGAATCATGAAGGATGTAAAGGACGAATGATGGAAGGATCACAAATAAAGTATTTAATTTCGATAGAGCAATGAGAAGATGGAGTTGTTCTGAAAAATGTGATATAGTTGAACTATTTAATGTATTTAATGTAATTTGGCACTAAGCAATAATTTAAAACAATTAGTCCCTTTGATAAATTTCGATAATGCAATGAGAAGACGAAGTTTATCAGAATTATGTTATATATTTGTGTAATACATTTCGAACAATCTGATCACACATAATGTGCCTGCTAAGAACATTTATATTTGAAAATTAAAAGGTCAACTAGACAAGTTAAGGGTAAGTCATAACAAAGGAAAAATATTAAAGTACACAAAAAAATGTGATTACCGCTCTGGATAATAAATCAGTATTATCAGGATAGGTAGGACAAATTGTTTTTGAACACATAAAGGGGGTTTCAATTTCCGTATGGCCAAGGCTCCAATAAACCTTAGTATACGTCCTTGAAGGCTTTTGTATAACACTACAAATGCTGATTTGATGTCAACCTTATGACCTTATGACCTTTTAATTTTCATATATAAGTGTTCTTAACAGGCACATTATGTGTGATCAGATTGTTCGAAATGTATTGCACAAATATATCACATAATTCTGATAAACTTCGTCTTCTCGTTGCATTATCGAAACTAAGCAATAAATCAGTTGTCCCCGTCACTACACTATTATTAGTTAGTCCTATTATAGTGAACAAGAACACCAGTGGGGACAACCGAAGGTATTCGAGCACGAAATTACAGAGCATCTCAATAAAGTCTGAGAACGACATACTAATTCGTTAGTTTGCAAAATATCAATCCATCATCTCAAACTTGACCGTTCCTGTCGCAAACATCAATCCAATGTCTCAGATGTCATTATTCATGCGTTTTCATACCAATTATGTTCCGTTTCCGTTCTTTCCTCATCGACCTTCTACTGAAATACATTCTATGCCTGACCATCGTTATATACTACTTGTGTAGATATAAGTAACCCACACCACACTACTTGTTTTTTATCCACTTTGTTAGTTTCATATCGGTGTGCTGACTTAGTATGATAATTTGTACTCACATTCGTATTAGGCTCTACAATGACTCTGGCTAATGGGATCCTATTACATCTACTGTGGTTCAGAGCCAACGGGTACTATCACAAAACTTTGTAATCAGAGCGTGGTTCAAACCCAAGAACATGAATTTGTACCCAGTAAATGAGGTGATAATAATGGCAATAAACACTAGTCAGACAACATTGTTTCAGTCTCCATCTATTACATTAGACAGGAAAACATGACTAGTCTCTCGTAAATAACAAACAACTGATGATACTCATGTAATATATCGTGATTATTTTTTACGGATATTGTGAATTATTGGGTGAAGGTTAATCGTCTTCAATGATTCCTCAAGGTCTCTCCCTAGTTTAAACACTGTTTACTTTGTCAATGAGTACTCCAATTAAAAAATCATATTATTATGCTAAATTAGCGATACCACTGATGCCTTATTCTCCAATTGGTTGTTTAATTCACTCCAGTTTATTTATATGCATGAGATATTAAACTTTCTAAAATATTCTATGAATTAACTGAGAGATTAGTGAATTCATTTTGTATTGTTTGTTTGAATCTTCCCATTGATGTTTAGGACTGCAATTGATAAGTGTCTTCTTGCATGTTTGCATCCTGTTCGGATTGCCTCAGTGTTGCCTTAAGCCACGAGCGTTATAAGTAAAGATGGATAGTGGCTAGCAGTGGAATTCAGAACGCGCGTCTTGTCCTACTTAATACTCGTAGGCTGTCAAGACTAGGTAATTTAGGAGATAAAACGATGGTTTTGAAGCGAACGGTACAGGTTTCGAGTTCCAGGGTGCACATCAAATGTGGGATGCAAGTGCATCTACCTGAAGAGTCTCGAAGAAGACGAAACGCATGTCCCAGATTCCACTGCTAACTACCATCCACCTTTGCATATAATGAGAGATTAGTGATTTATAATACTGAAAAAAGAGACGAGTTTTTCGTGATTCTCTCTAAATATTAGGTGATTAAATGATAATATACAAAATAAGCATTAGTCTGAGTGAAATTACGTTTTATCCTGTTTGGTTTCTTTCTTGCGCTTAACCAGATATTAAAGATTATCAGTAGTATGTACGTGTGTAGCACAGTTTTCTATGTATCACAGTTATCGATCATCCGTAAACAAGTGATCACCTCTATCTCTATTAAAAGATAAAAAACGTATTTAAACTAATGTGATGAGTAGTTCTCATTGTCACGTTAGACAATAACTTGAAAAGATTTTCTGGAATACTTTTTGTAGAAATAAGATGCGTGTCTTTCTAAAATTTATAATAGTAATAATAACCAATAGGTGTCATTCATCATGGACTAATCTCAGTTAGGAAAGCATAGAATATAATGAAGTAATGAGCCACTGCTTGGTCCTAAAATCATTACGACCTCTCCAGAGATTTCACATCCAGTGCTCAACTACTACAATCATTGGATTATCATCTAATGGTACATATTTCCAACTTCAATCGGCTTGGGAAATTACACAACTTTAATTCAATGCTATTGGTGTCAACTGTTTCAAACTAGGTCTGTTTGAACTCTACTGACCATGAACTACCATTATATATAGAATCGCTATAGTGAACATCAGGTGTTTGACTATACCAAAGAGTTATTAACAGAAAAATTGATTGATGCGTATAATCTCTCCACTTATATTCACAGGACATTGGAATACTTGTAAAATATGTTGAAATAGGAATTTTTGTTGGTGAATGCCTATCGTTTTTCTATATTTATCAACCGGTTTCGCTAAAGAATATTTAGTTTTACTAAAAAGCTTATATGTTATACATGAATCCTAAAGTAAGCGGCTCTCGGTTCATAAAAGGACACCAAAAACTCAGATGATAGTCACTGGCATCATCTCTATTTTTTCCTTAATTTCATACTAAGTGGCTTCATAGTGGATAGCAGTGCATAAGTACATCATTCCTTTAAAATTTAATCCGAAAAAATATAGCTAAAATCTGGAAATTTATTGCAGTATTTGCACAGCTGAAAAACAGTGAAATAAAAATTAGAACTGACCAACAACTGTTGAACAGAATTTGGATATACCAGACAATCATTTGGTATGCTGTCTCGCAACCAAAAACTCCGAAAAGGCAGAAGTTACAAGTCAAATTTGGCAGTGTGCGTGGGTATGTAAGAGAGA